ACATATATATATATATATATATTATGACATTTTTTAAAGTTTTAATTTATACTTCATTAATATAAATATAGATTAAAATTCTTTCTCATTTAGTTGAAACAGTTGTATATAAATATTTGGAGTAACAAATTAATTTAGTTTTAAATGTTCATTTTCTGTTTATTATAGTACATTTTTCAGAAATCTATTTCATTCCAGTATTTTTTATCATGCATTTATACTTTTTTTCTTTTTTTTTTTTTCTTTTTTGCATATTTAATACATCAAACTAAATTGAAATAAAATGGCAATGTTGCTTCGGCAACTGAGGGAGGAATACTGGGTAAACAGAAACGCGTGTATGAACGGCTTTGCAAACATATTCTTTACTTTGCAGACACAAAAAGTTCAAGTTTGCAGATCCCGGCGTGAGTAACCTGACCTACAGCAACCCTTCATACAGAACCTCCACGCAGGAGGTGAAGATCGAGACCGCACAGAAACCTGCGATAAACAGCCAGCTGCGCTATAAGAAAGAGGTACAGTTTACCACGCTTTAAGATTCACAGAAGAAGAGAGTAAATCAATGCTGTTTCTGCACTCCAACAAAATGCTGGGTTTTATACTGACCCAACACTGGGTCAAATATGAACAGACCCAACAGTTGGGTTATAAATTTATTTAAATTTAATGTAAACATTTTTGAAAACCCAGAGTTGGGTTAAAGGGATAGTTCATCCAAAAATGAAAATGTACTCACCATTTACTCTCGCTCAATTGTTTCCAAACCTTTATAAAAATATCTTATATATCTCTTTAAAATATCGCTTTGCGTGCTCGACAGGAGAAAGAAACTCATAAGGGTTTGAAACAAGTAAAGTGTCCCTTTAGTTTAACCCAGTATTTTTGGAGTGTAGTTATTCTGATGATTTGTGATCCGCTCATCTGTTTGTCTGATGTTCTCCACTGCAGCTCAATCATCCGTACAACTCGCTCTCCCCTTTCATCTTTTGACTTCACACTTTTATTTTCATCAGAACGGCAGACCAGGTAGTTCAAAAAGAGACATCTCAAGTCAGCATTGTGGCTTATCGTCAATCCAGCATCCCAGTTGTTTCTGATCCTGCATGCGGATGGTTTGAGCAATGCATGAGAGTGTGCGGGAGATGATCATTGAAAAACAAAAACAGAGTAAAGAGTGTATCTTAGCATGCATTGTGAACAACGTCTCTGGAAATGCAGTGATTGGTCTTGAAAACAATAACACATACCTCTGACATACAGTACATCGGCCGATATTCATTTAAAGGGGCAGTTCACACAATAATTTCAATTCTGTCATCGTTTACTCATCCTTTAATGGTTCCCAATTATTCATTCATTTCATTTGGCTTAGTCCTTGATTTTTCAGGTGTCACCACAGCGGAATGAACCGCCAACTATTCCAGCATATGTTGTATGCAGTGGATACCCTTTCAGCCACAACACAGTATTGAGAAAGACCTATACATTGGACGTTACAGGTTGCCACAGTAGAATGAACCGGCAACTATTTCAGCATGTGTTTTACACAGTCTATGCAACCCAGTACTGGGAAACACCGATACACTTTCACATTCACATACACTCATACACTACGGCCAATTGAGTTCATCCAATTCCCCTATTGCGCATGTGTTTGGACTGTATGGGAAACCGGAGGACCCGGAGGAAACCCACACCAACATGGGGAGAACATGCAAACTCCACACAGAAACACCAACTGACCCAGCTGGGACATCATTCATTCATTTTCGGCTTAGTCTCTTTATTAATCTGGGGTTGCCACAGCAGAATGATCCGCCAACTTATCCAGCATATGTTTTACGCAGCGGATGCCCTTTCAGCTGCAACCCATCACTGGGAAACACCTATTCACACACATACACCGCAGACAATTTAGCTTACCCAATTCACCTGTACCACATGTGTTTGGACTGTGGGGGAAACTAGAGCACCCGGAGGAAACCAACACAAGGAGAACATGCAAACTCTACACAGAAATGCTAACTGTCCCAGCCATGGCTCAAACCAGCAACCTTCTTGCTGTGAGGCGATTGTGCTTCCCACTGCGCCACCCCATCCGCCCCTGACGCAAAGGCAGATGCAGCTTAGTGCATTAACCTTCATTATGTTATTAAAAGGCTGGTTAAGGTTTTACTGTAATAAGTTCATTATATATATATTGTTGTAAACTTCTAAGAGCCCACAAAAAACCAGGGAGAATCTTTCGGTTGTCTTCAAAGCAGAATCCTTTTTAATAAGAGGAACTCAGCGTGGCTGTGGCGTCATCGAAAGCAAACTCTCAACTCCACAGCAAAACATAATACATTTTATACATGTTACAGCATGTAGGTGGGGTCAGTCATGGGGGACAGTCAAACAAAGCATGCAAATGAAGTCTGGGTGCCATGCTGATCTCATCAATAGATAAGTACATCATTACAACAATGTGCAAATGATGTTCTGGAGACAGGGAATACAATAGATACAGCCACGCTGTGAAACCATTAATTACATCACTTTGGCATATAAATGAAGTCTGTAGTAAGCAAGGCAAAGGTTAAATGTCCCTCCTATATGGCATGTCAATGAAATGATGTAATTAAAAACCAAAGAAAATAACTTTTCAGTTATACGTAGATTATTGTTCATTTGGAATAAGATGTTAGAAATTTAGATTTCCATTTTATATATATATATATATATATATATATATATATATATATATCTATATCTATCTATCTATATATCTATCTATCTATCTATATATATATATATATATATATATATATATATATATATATATATATATATATATATACATATAT